CCATGACAATTAATAAAGCTCAAGGTCAGACTCTAAAAGTTGTGGGTATAGATCTAAGTATCAGCTGTTTTTCGCACGGTCAATTGTATGTGGCTCTGTCCCGTGTTAGCAATCCCAGCAGCCTGTATGCTTTCACCTCCGATGGCCATACGTCTAATATTGTATATAGAGAAGCATTACAGTAAAGTAGAGAAGCATTACAGTAAAATGGCTTTGATTATGATCCAAATCTAAAATAAAAATAAGTATATATTTAAAAAAAAAACGCTGCTCATAGTCACTATTCTACGCGAACGAAGTCGCGGGCACAGCTAGTTATACATATATCTTACATCTTATACTATTATATATAAAGCGGAAGAGTTTGTTTTTTTGTTTGAACGCGCTAATCTCCGTAACTACAAGTCTGATTTGTATAATTGTTTTAATGTTGGATAGCGCATTTATCGAGGATGGCTATAGGCTATAAAACATCACGCTACGACTACTAGGAGCTGAGCAGAGCGTGTGAAACCGCGCGGACGTAGCTAGTATATATATATAAAGATAGATGTAATAAGAGAAACCATCGTTCCATGTCCAACATGTATTCCTGGTAGCCTCGACAAGGGCTATCTGGAAGTCGCTGAGGAAGCCTACATCCAGCAGTAGACGTATTGTGCCAGATATTTATGATTATGATCATAACATAACATACCATCACCCCTTTTATCCCCGAAGGAGTAGGTAGCGGTACACTATACGGCACTTAATGCCACTGTACAATGTAACACCCACTTTTCACTATTTATGTTATGAGTCAATATGTTAGTTTAGTTATGAATCAATTGCCATATACCGGCACAATTCCAGACTCCGTGCTATTACTGAGAATATTATTTTAAATAATCCAGTATTACTTTGCCCGACCCGGAAATCGAACCCGAGACCCCTTGACCGCCAATGGCACTTGTGACAACTCGGCCAATGAGGCATGCAGTGATGATGATAATTAATACGGTTTTGCTGTCTTTTTATAGTTCTATGATATTTGTTTTTCCTTTATAATTTTGATTTTAGTTCATATCGCACAGAGGGAAATGCTAGGAGCGTGGGCTCCTAGCACAGCTTACCCTAGTTTGGATTCCTGAGTTGTATCATTTCATTGTCAGTTAAATTACGATCAAACTTATGTAGAGTCTCTCACAAGTTTATGTCAATATCTAGGTCTACATTCCTATGCTTTATGGTGGAATAGTAAATAAATTTATTATTATTACTATTTATTGTGATCCATAAAGCCTTGTAAGTTATAAGGATCTAGGTTGCTAAATACATGATCAATGGGATTAGGATTGGCTTCATAGGTCTGCCACGCCTCGGGCCAGTTGCGGTGATTATTTTTTGTCCAGGAAGTGTACCGCGTGTACACGCTCCTATCATTATTGTAGTCTTGCAAGTCGATGTCATCGGTGCGACGCGTGCGACCGTTTGGTGAGACACCCCAATCATTCCATGTTTGTGAATGTGCAGGATGATAGAGTATCAGGAATAAGGGTATGACTGAAACAAAGACATATCTAGTTTAGTCGCCATCAACATCATATTAATTATTAAACATCTGCTACTGAATATACGGTATGGCCCAAAGGAATTTCAGGTCGGCCGAACAGAAGCCTGTATTTGTTTTTTGGAGGGGCTAATATGGTTCAATGACTTCTCCCGCCTTACGTGAGGCGAGAGGGAGTGTCAGACTCTTACTGACTAAAATCACGAGAGTTCCAGCTTCGAGCCAGAGACCGGGTAACCCGTTAGGTCATCCGCAGTTCCAGGAACCGACCTGCGTCCTGCGGCTTCCAGCGACCTGTATCAGGTCGTCTGTATTACCAAGCTGTGCCTTCAAGCTGCCATGTCTCACCGAGTCTTCTACAAAGCTTCATCAATGGATTCAAGAGTTATAAACTTTTCCGCAAAGCGATCAGCGACAATCGACTTTATCTATTAGTGAATAAGATTTCATTTAAATCAAACACTTATACGTACGTGGTATTATAATATTCATGGTTTATGGTTTTTTATTGTATGAGAGTTTTACTGATAAGCGCAGTTCATTTATACTGGCTGTTTCAGACGTTTGTTATAAAGTGCTATGCAGACTAACTCAAAAGGTACGCAATTTTTAAATTACTCCCTAACAGCCTCATTGTAATCAATAACAGTCGGAGAGACTGTGATACACCTATTCAACAAAATAACGTAAGGGAGGATTGGTAAACCAATGAGCGCTTTTTTAAGGAGGAAATCAGCGATTAAGTTCTCCCTCCTTGGGTGAGGCGACAGGGAGTGTCAGACTCTTACTGACTAAAAACCACACTGTTCCTACTTAAAGCTAGCTCTTCAAGCCGGAGCCATGGCAACCCGTTAAGTCTTCTGCGGCTCCGAATCGACCAAGGAGCGCCGCTGCCCGGTCTCTTTAAAATGGTCTCGCGGCTTTGACGAAATCCGCAGGAAGAGTAGTAAGTAGTAAAAATTATTTTAATAATTAGCCGTCATCATCAACATCGTCGTCAACAGCCTATAAGTGCCCACTGCTGAGCAAAGCCTCTTCTCACACGGAGAAGGTTTGAGCATTAATCACCACGCTTGCTCAACGCTTGCTCAAAGTACATATAACTCAGAGAAAGTGACATTGGTAGTTGCCGTTGGTAGATTTCGAACCCGCACCCTCGTGCACGAGAAGAATTGGGAAGCGGGCGTCTTAACTTAAGTCTCCGGGCCACCACGACATTAGCCGTCACTACACTGCAACTCTATATAAGTACAGGCATACGATTTATGATAACACCGTCCCTTCCTGCCCCTTGAACGTGCCTGATAACGCGTTGAATATACACATTTGTTCATCTATGTGCATAAGGTTTTAGAATTACAATTTTTAATCCTATAGATTATCCAATTAAAATTTCATGTACTTATTACCCAGTATAGAAGTTAATATAGGTATAGCTAATAGGTATTACGACTTTTAATTTAATACTAATCAAATAATTTCGATTATTCTGCTTATACCAACTTTGTAATAAAACTGTGAGAGTGTCATCTCGGCGAGATGGTCGAAGTCGGAATACTATTTGGTAAAATGTACCTTAATAATATATTGGTTAGGGATGAATTGTTGTCGCGGAGAACCTAACGGGTAACCGGGGCTCCGGCTCGACGTGCAGGAGAAGGAACGGGGTGGTTTTTAGTCAGTAAGAGTCTGACACTCCCTCCCGCCTCACCTAGGCGGGAGCAGTCGATGATTTTCCCCCCTTAAAAAAAGGGGTGAAATGTTAAAAATAATATTTTGGTGAAATCAACTCATCGAGGATCTCAGCGCTTTTTTAATTCATTTTGCTTATATTTTTCAAGTGCCGTATTCCCGTGATATGGACGGACAACGTTATTAACTGTGTGACATATATAATATTTTCTGTCTAATTAATTTACCTACCAACTGTTTAAAACAAACTTTAATGAATAAAATTGTAGAATTGAATTGACTGCCTCATTGTCTGATTGGTCGCAAGTGCGACTGCCAGGCAAGGGGTCTCGGGTTCGATTCCCGGGTCGGGCAAAGTATTACTGGGTTTTTCAAAAATTCCCAGTAGTAGCACGGAGTCTGGAATTGTGCCCGGTATATGGCAATAGGCTCACCCCCTATAACATGGGACTCATAACATAAATAGTGAAAAGTGGGTGTTACATTGTACAGTGGCATAATGTACACCTCTGCCTACCCCTTCGGGGATAAAAGGCGTGATGTTATGTTATGTTATGAATTGAAGACCAGTTGTTGCCTGCAACTTCGTCCGGGTAGAAAATGATTCCTGTTTTATCCCATGGGAGTATTTAATCGGAATAAATAGCATCCTATCAACTAAATCAGCCCATACCCTGCCTGTATACCAAATTTTATAAAAATCCGTTGAAGTAGTTTCAGCGGGATTGACGGACAAACAATAATGTGATTATTTTTATCTGACTTACAATTATTACTGCGTTAAAAATAGACGTATTTATTGTATAGGATGATTGTATAGGAATAGGTGGATAGTTAGATTACTAGAAAAATAATCCGAATTTAATCATAGACAATATTGATGATACAAAATGATAATTCTCTTTTACGTAAGTATGACAAGTTAAACAAATTTAAAGTCTCCTGCTCTTTAATTAAGTGTTATAATTACTTGTACTACTCGTATACTAAAATTATATTTTGTGCCTTTAACAAAACCAAGTTCTTATAAATAGGTACTTATTTCATCTTCGAATGAGTGAGTGAGACACATATACGCGTATAAGCCGAGAGTGAGAGTGACGGAAAACAATAGAACATTGGAAGCATGCTAGCAGTTTGTGGATCACACAAAGGATTCGGGGTCACTAGGGTAGTGGGGCAGAATTACCCTGAAATCGGGGTAAAATTAATAAGTTATTTGAAAAGAGATGTGTTTACAATGTGATGGTATGACATAATGTTAAAAATTAAATAAAATACATTGATAACATGGAAAACAAAAACGAGATACATAAATGAGATACATAAATAAAACACATATAGTTATTTGTTTGAAATTTTAACTAAAGGCGTAAAAAAATTTTACAGTACGTCAACCGACTAGCAACTTGATATCACAGGAAGCTGGATACTAACAACACAATGATGCGAACAAGAAGTCTTAAAATAATGTAGTTTTCAGAAATCAATTATTTTCATTAGGGTTTTAAAACGAAGATGTAGATTTGATCATATACTTAATTATAAGAAATGATTAAACAATTCCAAGACAAGATACCCTCGCAACAGTAGTTATAAAACAATCACAATAAATAACATACCCAAATTAAATTAAATACAGACAGGGAAATTTCAAAATAATTTTCCTTACGTAGCAACACTGCGCTGAAACACCACCGGGAATCGGGAGCTTGCCCGAGCGTGTTTCAGTCGGTCGCGGGAGCTCGGCCTTGCCACTCGGCCCGAGCAATCGATTCTACAATCGGAACAATCGAATTATAATCGAACACCTAATTCTCTAACACACAACATCAATAAAATAACATTCTATCTTTAAATACTTGAAAGGACAGTTGAGTAGTGTTTCGTGTTTTAGAAATGAATGTAGATTGTGCAGTACATGATACTCTTGTGGAACAGGGATATTATTAAAAATAGGCTGTTTTCACACTGTTTTTGTGAGGGCGAATCCAGGTGAGTTGCCCATTTATTATTTATAGAAGTATTTTCTTCTTTCTGTGTACAAATTGCCTCGGGATCCTGTTTTTGTGTGATGTCTGTTGTTTTAGATTGAACAAAAAACGAGCACATGTTTAATAGACATACAAACTATAAAGGGTAGGTAGATATTTATTTTTCTAATATGGAAATAGTGCGGTAGTAGAATGTTTTATTGTTACGTTATTTGTATAATGAAATGTTCTATACGATACGATTCGATAATTTCTGTTTGTATTTTGATCGTACTATGTCATTTTTTGTGTTATTTTATTACGTACGAAATATCAAAATTAAATTAAGACAAAAGCATCATCTACCGTGTTAAAACTAAAAGAATAGCGTCATCTGATATGTCTTTTTTGTGCAGGTTGTTAGGTTTCTATAAACCTGTGTAATATTCAATAATATATTAACATTGTTGCAAGTATCATAAAGTCATCATGCGGTTGTTGTCTTAATATTTTGAAATTGTTAACGGCAGTAATGATTTATTTTCACTGAAAACTTCGTGAACTGATGATATTTTTGTCCATTCAAAAATTCGACATTTTCTGTGATTTGACATTTACAGGTTATTTATCTGGTATGGAATAGAAGCAGTTTTTAAATACGAAGGTAGTTCATAAAAAGAAAAATAAGTACCAGGGTGGCAGAAATTATGAGATCTCAAAGCTCAAAGCGTGCTCGTGTACGGTGTGCGAGCGTAATTGCTTCCTGTGGGGAAACTCAGCGTGTGAAGAACGACCTCTCTCCACCCTGTTGCTACCAGGCTGCCATAAATTCGAGGGAGATGTAATTAAGCCAGCTGTACTCAAACGTCATCGGGCTTGGAGCATGTTCCTTTGCGTTCCATTTTTGATTTGATTATATCGTTAAATTCGGTCAAGTGCTGTTTGTACTTGGGAATGTGAGTTTTAGTGACTTTTATATTTGGCTGTGTTATTAGCGCAGCGATCGAAAGCGTCACGTTCACGAAAATGTTTACTTTCAATGATTTTCCTGTGAAGGAATTGGGTACTTTCCTTATAGAAAAAAATATTTCGACCTTTCAATGAAAACCAAATTAAATCGACATTTTAATACAATAAAATATGTGAAAATAATCACATTTTTATAAAATGAATTTATATTTTTCTATCCAAAGAATCTATTTTTCTATTTAAGAAGTTTTTCTCTATACTTTTTTCGCACGAATACTTTTTTCGATATTACAAAAATGTATTTTTGTCTAGTTGTAAACTACAAAAATTTCCAAAATAGCAAAATATAAAGGCAACTTGTACAACTATCGAAATCTTTTAAGTATGTGCATTTTGCACGCACGAGTAGGTATATTGACTATCGTAAATGAATTTATAAAAAGGTTATTGAAGTTGTAACTTCAAATTTTAAATTAATAAAAACTGTTTCATAAATTAAATTAATAATCCTTATCAACGGAATGTCTCGGATTATACAGCTAATCTCAGTAATTAATTATTATGATTGATTTTATGAACTTTTTATTGAGTTACTGCTGCGGTTTAACCCATGCTGAACGCCTGAACCTCTTCTTTTTATATTTGATGGGCCGACGTATGACCATTGACCTCTATCTCGCCTGGTGGTAAGCGATGATGCGGTCTACGATGGAGCACGTCGTCCCATAAGCAACCTATTCACTCGGGCCTTGAAGACACCAGGTTATACCCTTCAGGAAATACAGACTCTGGCAAAGAATTTCACTCCTTAGTAGTACGCACAAGGAAGCTTGATGCGAAGCGCTTAGTGCGTTAGGGTGGGACATCTACCATAAATTGGTGAGGCTTACTAATTGTCTTGTGGTAGGTACGATGATTTTATTCATCTCAAAGAACTTCGCTTCTGAGTTAGGATTAAAGCTGTAAAACCATACTAATCTTTCTGTATTTTCATTGTAAAACTAAATATACTCTGAGACCTTAGTACAAGTTTGATTTATGTTTAAAGTAATCGAAACGAGACCACGTTCGGTGCTCTGATTGGCCGGCTACAATTAACTAACCAATCAGAGCGCTATACGAGGTCTTGTTTTGATAAAACAAATTAGTACTAAGGCCTCTAGTCTCTACCCAGAAACTTTAGTGTATGGACCATATTATTATGCATCTCTATCTATCCCTTCTGGGAATAAAAAGGACTACACCTTACAAAGGCGAGCAGCGCGCTTGTGACTCCTCTGGCCTTGCAGCTTGCAGGTGCAACGTCTGCGCATTTGCCCAAAATTTCATAATAAGACATACAGAGAGTTTGCTTAAAATCGTCGGCTAAATATGACGGCTAAATAATAGCGAGATAATTGCGGACAAACATAGGCACATAGTATATATAAAATATAAATACAGGTTAAACAGAGTACCTCTATCGTTTTTTTAAATATGATCAAAAGGTACTGAAACTAGATGAGTGCTCTCTGATAAACTTCCATTCAATCAGTGATCTCCAATTATCTTATCGTGAAGAATATGGCAAACTCTCTTATGTAGACGAGGTCTATAGTACAGCAGTGGACTATCACCGGCAGTTGATTTTGTAGTTGATTTTATTATCGATCGAAAACGTCTAATTACCGTCGGCTATTACTAGAAGTAAGCAAGTTCAGAGCCACCAACTCGCCCGGATATTCCACGTAAATTTTATTCCAGCGCCGTAGACTCCCGGTGAGCTCAATGTATTTGCTATTTTTTTTTACCAAAATGCATTTCAGTAATTTCTGCTTAAAATAATATTGAAGACCCAGCAAACTCTTTTCACATCAAAATTTTTTTCTCACTTTTTAAACCTTCGGGCGCGTTCGGCTCTCTGATTGGCCAGCGCCAATGAAGTAACCAATCAGAGCGCGGAATGCGTACTCGTTACGATTACTTTATACGTAAAACAAACTCGTACTAAGGCCTCTGTTCTCGAGTTTTAGCGAGACGAACGAACGGCAATTAACTTTTATAATTTTTATTTACAAAAGAATCTTCAAAAGAAATTATGTGCCACATTTCAGCTATGTTTAGCAGTTTGGACTGTGATCTGTGTATCAGTTGCTCAATCATTACAAACGAAAGAGTTTTGTTCGACTAGAAGCAACAGTATATCTATATCATACATATTATAATAAAATCGTAGGAAGTAAAAACTGAACATAGAGTAAAGTTTTTTAAAAATAATGCTTGGTGCGTGGTCTACAATCGAAATCGAAGCTAAAAATATGGTTTATATAATTTTTGTCTCAACTCAAAAAGTAATGCATGACTTTACATTAAATTTTCCATGAATATTACTAACAAGTCGGGTCAACATACAGGCTACAGGGGAGGAGCTGTGAATCACTATTTCACGCGGACGAAGTCGCGGTCATAGCTAGTTGTCTGAAATATTTACGTAATTTTTTCTATTCCATGTTTACATACTACTGCAATTTAAGAAATTTTACCTCTTAAAGATCGTGTTTACAAGTGAACTGAGTGCAAGTCCAAATAACATTAGGTTTGCAACTGGTGAAGTTTTTATGACATTTACAGGGACACTCGAAAACGCTATAAAACTTGACTCAGAGTCACTTTAATAGGGTAAGATGAGATAAAAGAGATGAGTTGTTTTTCTCAGTAGCTACAAGCTACAAAAGAAGTTTGCGAAAGAAGTAATGTTAATGACTATGTGGGTATTGTTTTAATTACTGATTCTTGATTCTTGAATGCCTCGAAAGTTATTTATATTTTCTTTTATTTAATACTACTTCTGCGCGGTTTCATACGCTCTGCTCAGCTCCTATTGGTCGTAGCGTGATGTTTTATAGCCTATAGCCATCCTCGATAAATGCACTATCCAACACAAAAAGAATTATTCAAATCAGACTTGTAGTTACGGAGATTAGCGCGTTCAAACAAACAAACAAACAAACAAACTCTTCCGCTTTATATGATAGTATAAGATAATAGTATAAGATGTGACCTCTTTCTAAGCTTGCCTCTTTTGTAGGTACATGTACAAATACACATACACTTAGAAACAGATTCGGGACACCTATTTGTAAATCACACAAAGAATTGTTTTAAGCGACTTAATCTATACAGGTAAATGAAATTGGAATGTTTGTAATATTAAAATAACCGCTTTTTTCTACATGCATATGAATATACTATACACATACCAAATTTTTTATTTTATTTTGGTCTACCTGCCTGTTTGTTTGTACTGGCTAATCTCTGGAATGGCTTGACCGATTTTGACGGGACTTATATTGGTAGTTAGCTGATGTACTAAGAAGTAACATAGGACTTTTATATTAGAAACTTAGAACAAAAAAAAAGTACTAAAATTTAAATTCTGCTCGGACGACGTCGCGGAGAACTACTAGTAATAAACAATCACAAAGTGGTAAAATCTCCATCGACGAGTATACTAGATGCATAGACCAGTAAAACAGAAATAAACGCCATTAAGAAAGCAAAGCTCTCATAGTCGGCAACGCACTGTATTGCAGATTTGCAGGCTACCATAGTCGACGACCATTTACTTACCGTCAGGCGGTTAGTGGACTTTGTCGCTACTACAACATAAAAATTCAAGTGCTACCAAATGGTAAAGCTAGTATGAATAACTTGGCAGTCACTGACGTAAACATTATAAATAGGTTTCGTCTGGACTTCCCAAGGGCGGTTTATTTTGAACACAACAACTTTAGAAGGTTCTTGACTGTTTTGGATTTCAGGCAACGTCTGTATTATTATTACCTTTTTTTTGAGGGGAGGAAATCATCCAATGACATCCCGCCCGGGTGAGGCGAGAGGGAGTGCCAGACTCTTACTGACTAACCAATCCGTTCCTCCTTCTGCACTTCGAGCAGGAACAGAATGGTTTTTAGTCAGTATTACCTACCAGGAAGTTTAAATTACGAAATTAGTTTTACAAAAATTCTACCTTACAACTTTTTCAATGTAGTCAGTAATAAAAACCAGGAGGTC